TAAATTTTCCATATTATATAATGCAAAATTCAGGTGCCTTAGCATTTGATGACTGTATGCATCTCGCTTCAGTTATTTTATGTAGAAGTCAGATGATTCAAACTAGTCAGTTTAGTTTCATATCATTATGTATAGGCAAAGAGCGGATGTTGAGCGGGCCTCTCAGCTAATGATCAACTGTTCTGATCCTTTTACCTCTGATAATCGTAAGCCTCTTTTGCATTCTGGGCATTTCATGGATACATCTAGTGGACATCTGAGAGCATCAATTTCATCTGTACATGACAATGTTGTATCACATACAGTAAGTCATGGAGCTTCTTCAAGTGCTAAAGTTATCCCTGGGTTCTTACCAAATCCTGGGTGTGACAGATTGAGAAAATCTGGTGACAGCCAATGCTCATCAAATCAACTTGGAGGTCTCTTTTCTTTTTTTGTTAGTATATCCCAGATTATGCTCAATCTCTTTGCGATTTGCTGATGTTATCCTTATCTCTGCAGTTGTTGATTCCATGGAATTGATTGAGAAGGATTATGTTCTCGTCGATCCTCATTTTGCTTCAGTGGAGAGTCTCTCTCTCTCTTATTATCTTGAGACATCACTGCAAGCTAGTTATCCAACCAGGATTTCTAACTATCCTTCAAAGAAGAATGACCAGGGTTTAGCAATTTCAATAGGAACAAAGGGGGTGGGCGCGCTTTCTTCGAATGTCGCTGAAACTTTGCAAGTCCATTCACCTAGTTCACTGATAACATCATCTGAATCAACTATGTCGATGGAAGTGCAACGGCCTAATTTTCTCCATCCCTCATCTAGGCTCTACTTTTTACATCAGTGTGTGCGGGCTCTTGAAGAACTAGCTCAAGACAAGGTGGTTTCATGTTTTCTGATGAATAGCTTCTAGCTGATAGATTGAATTCACTCAATCTTTTCTAGTACTACTACATGTTGGAATCAAAACACATTTTACCTATAAGGAAACTTCTAAGAAAAAGAGACATGATTAGAATTACATCTAAGTGTTTGGATTTATATATCTGAGTTGTGATTGCTATGCTTGCAGTATAAAGCAGGAGAATTACTAGAATCTTTCTCAGTTGAGCTTGTTGTTTTGGCTATATGGAAGAAAGTTTATGAAATTTCTGGTTCCTGGATGTCCTCAAGAGAAGAGGGTAAGTTGCCTGGAACTTATTCAGCCAAAGAATCTGCAGTTAATCTTGAAGGCACCAGCTTAGCTCCACGTTCAGAAGGCAATGTAGATTTTATTAATCCTTTATCTGTTTACATGTGGGCGGAACAAGGGTTTATTGTTGCTTGTGATCGTGCAGAGCAGTTATCAGATCATTTCAGGAACATGGATGGTTAGTCTCTAAGTCAATTTTTTATAACATGCTGTGTTATTCTTCATTTGTAATTCTGGTTTAAATTTTACTGGAAGACATCTCTCCACTGCAGCTACTGCTGAGATGCCTGATGCCATGGAAATTATATATCAAAAAGCCCTTGCTTTGGGCAAGGCAGGTTGTGTAAGTAATTCTATTACATATCTACCTTGTTGTGATATTAAAGACCATTCCTTTCACTCATAAAGTGTGGTTTGTTCCAAACATGGTGTAGGGTGTAAGCCATTAGAACTTAATTATTGACTTCATATTCCCTAAGTTGGTCTTGTATGGTTACAGGTAGATGAGTTAATGGACAACAAGAGTAGTGCAGCAGCACTGTACTCCAAAGCAATGTTTCTTCTTTCATTCATAATGGGAGAAGCAGCAACTCTGCCACTGAACCCTCCACTTTTGTTAACTCTTGACAGTAAGAAGCAAATTGAAAATTTTATTATGGTCTTGCAGTCTCGTCAGATGCACTTCTTAACATCACCAAGATCTACTGAGCGATCCCCAAAACCACTTACGAAGTGAACACAACTAGTGTCCAGCAATTTTAGATCACCAGCTTACAAAGATAAAACATGGAGATCATGATGAGAAGAGGGGGAAATTTTGAATTCATACAGACATTTTAACATATCTACTGATGACATGATGGAAATACATTGATATATCTTTTTGTGTATAAAGCATTCAATAGCAAACTGCTGGCAATTTGGTGCAAGATGGCCAATGTTGCGAAGGAGAAAATGTAAATAAGATTATTCTATTCGTTCACTTTATGGAATGTAAATAGAAATGCAAAGAATGGCATGTACAGTGATTCTTTTTTCTTTTTTCTTTTGGTTTGCCAAAGATATATAATGGATAATACTGTTTTAGGAAGCTGCCCATAGTTCTATTGAGAGTTTAGCCTAGCAGGAACTTCCATAGCCTTACCAAGTTTTGACCGGTTACTAGCTCTCTGCCTGTCTGACAGGTGAAAAAGATGTCTTATTATACTAATACATTTATATTTAATCATTAGTAGAGACGGTTAATATTTTTATATTTTATTAAAAAATTATGAATTTAAATTTTATTAAAAATATAAAAATTATCACTTAATAAATATATTAATATTTAATTCAATAAAAATAAGAACTTAATTAATTAATCTATTAGTGCGAATATATGATTAAATTAAGTTTGTGACTTATTAACTGTATTATAGGTTGACGGTAATTCATTTATAATAATTAATTTAATAGAATTAAAAATTTAATTTATTATTTTGTTGGTGGGGTGCATAACAGTTGAGTTTATTACTTAATGAATATATTATGCACCAACGTTAGTAATTTATAATAATATTTTATTAAATAAAACTAAGATTAAAATTTATTAATTTGTTGACGAACTGCATGATCAAATTGAACTAAATGTTAGAGAAACTATTACTTTTTGAGCGAAAAGAATATTTAAAATTTTTTAGGTAGGGTAGTAATAATTTGTGAGCCAAATGATATTATATATCATTTAGATTCTCTTATTTAAGTTATTATAACTGGTTAAAAACTTGATTTAAAGTTTATTTTACAAAGAAAACATTACATCTATACCATTGAATAATAAATCCAACATTTAAAACAAAAATTCAAAAGTTTATTAAACTCAAGTAAAACAAATAGTTGTTTCTGTTGTGCTTATTAAAGTCAATTTTCAGTTATTGTAATTTTTATACTTACAAAAAACAAAATATGAATAAAATTAAAGAATTTTCTTTATTTTATATTAATTTTTTAGAGATGATAAAAAAATTATATTATATAGTTTAAAAATCAAATTATAAAAAAAGAAACTGTAGAAAAAAATTGTAGGAATAGTTTCAAAATGAAAGTATTTTTCTTATAGTTATATTAGAGATTGTAACCTGATTTTCATTTTCTATGGGTTCACTAAATTGGTTACACGCAGACATCGGATTGTCAACACTCTGAAAAGTGTATTTCCTCTTTTAAACTTGTTAACCACTTCCTCAGTTGTTCAGTGTGTGTGTGTGTGTGTATATATGTTTATAATATGTAGAGAGATGGTTGCATGTGAGGAAAGATACGTCCAGATCGTTGATGATATGATGCAACAGTCCAAAAAAGGTAAACAAGAAAATCTCCGGCACAGCTTCTTCACATCCATGCTTACAGCTTGGCGAAGGGGGGGGTTCCTTCGTTAAACCGCCACCCAAAGACAATAGCTGTTCAGATGGTTTTCTGTGATTCAACATTAGGGCATTTGTTAGAACACCCATCTCAAGGAAAAGCTGATATGATGCCATATCTAATCTCTACAAGAGAAATTATAAACATTCCACTCCAGCCACAGGCATATACACTGCCCGTAACCTACATTCCTATGTATAATCAAAGCATTCACAAAAGTGAAGAGACAGACTCTCTTGATGCCCAAGGTCAGTATTACAAGATCAAAATATCTATTCACACAATCAATCTAGGAAGATGAACAACGTAAATAAGAGAGACATACTTGGACGGAAGGGGCCAACTAAAGGCCCATTTAATACGTAATGGTCTTTATCTAGGTCTATCATGGAGTTTTTAGGAGCTATTGCACAAATAATGGAAAGTAAATGAAGTCAATGCAGACAGATATAATACACACACCTACACGAAAAAGTCTCGTGGGCTGAAAGTCTCGAACTTATAACAGGAAAGTAAATATAGATAAAAGGAGAAAATTAGGAATTACACGCAAAAAACAAAGGTTTCCTCTGTTTAGTTGCATGCAATGTTAAATGTCAAGTTGAAGCCTCTCCTTCCAAGCGCATCCTCTTGGGACCCTTCTCGTCACCCTGGCTTGTGGCGTTCACTAACCTGTTTTCCTTGGCTTCCATAGAACACCGCTTGTAGGGTTTGAATCCAGTTTTTCGGGACTTGAGTTTTGCATGTCCCAACCCAATTGTCAGCAGACTCTCCTCACAATTATTCTCAACCTTTGATAATGCATTTTTCGCCACTCCTTGGTGGTCAGAAGACTTGCTGTTGAGATCAAATGCTGATGTATCTCCACCTTTCTCATCTGTGGTTTGTTTTTCTTCTTGTTTATCCTCCTCTTTTTGATGTCCTTTACTTTTCAAATCATGTGGAGGTGAAAAGCTTTGTGGCAAAACCTCTCTGGAGAAGAGAGCCTGAAAAGCAAGCCGGCCCTGACACAAGAAAAACAAAAGCAACAATAAATTCAGAAACAACATATAGATGGAACCCCACTTATTTTCTAGAACAACATACTCAAAAGATTCACCCAAGTAATGTCCAAGTACCTCTTCAGAGACTGACTTCCAAGAATCACTAGTGTTGCTGCTGCTTCTATTGCGACGATTGCTACTCTCATTTGCTAGCAGGTTTGCTTCTTTCAGCTCTTCGTTGTCTTTCTCTTTCTTCTCTAAGTCATCTCTCTCTATTTCACTACTAGAGGTTGTATTTGAACCACAAGAAGAGCGATCAACTTGTTTTCTGCTCTTTGTTTTGTTTGAATCAAGAATTTCAGCAGTTACTGCCGTAGCTTTCTCATGATCAGCAGCTTCTGATACAGCATTTTGCTTCGTGCCTCCACTTTCCTCAGAATCCGATGATGATGAAATTGGTGATTTAGAGGCTGAATGTTGAGCTTGCAAAGCTTCAGAGTGTTCTGCGTCAAGTTGTTGATCCTGCAAAGAGGGATTTTGAAGGATGTTTTCTTTCCTCTCCGCCTTTGCTGCTGGAGCTTGGCCATTATCTATTGATGGAACTGCAGTAGCAGATGGAGGAGAACAGGTAAAACTGGCATGAAGAGGAGCACATAAGGGAAGGAGTCCATGGGCTGCCCACCAGGCAGTTGCAGCTGCGACAGTAGCAGCAGCAATAGCAGCCATACTAGGAGCGGAGTTCGCTTGTCTGGCTGGAAAACCTCCTTGGGTGGCTGTGGGAGAATTAGCAGAAGCTTCCACATTTGCATAGGGCCAAAAGGAAGCTGCAAAGCTTGCTGCAGTATGAGCAGCTGGATTTTGTAGCAGAGTGGACACGATAAGACTAGAAAAAGTGGAAGAGAAGTGGAAAAAAGATTGATAATCATCTTCACTGTGACGAACTGGGTTAAAGGGAGGATGAAAAGTTGGAAATGTTTGATGAGCAGACCTTGGCACATTACTCTGATGTTCTGTTGCAGAAGATGCCACCGGATTTGTGAACAAACTGGAATGTTCATGAACTCCTCTTGTGGCATGGAATATAGAGTTGTGATATGGCAAATCTGGGGGAGGAGTTGTTCCCAAGTTCCTTTCTAGAACATGCACAGGGACATGCCTTGGGTAGTTTTGTATGCCTTGCATATCATCTGTTGGCAGCGAATCATTCATACCCTCTTCAGCACCTTGAATTGATTTATCTTGTAGGAGACAGGAATTCTCTATGTTTGAGGCCTTACTCGTCCCATTGTCCTGAATTATTTGTCTCATGTCAGATTTATCAAAATTTAGTTTCCTTTTGGCTATGATTGGAGCAAATGAACTTTATTTATCTACTTTATTTGAAAATCCAGACTGATCTTAATTAGATGATAGAAAATATCCTTACAAAAAATGAAAATCAGTATATTAGAAAATTCCAGATAGAATTGAAATGCTGCGTGGCAAAATTTATAATAGAATTGGGAACATATTGTTTCAATTTCACTTTCAAGTTCCTAGGAACTCAATTTTTATATTTATTAGATTTAATAGTTAAAATAAACCTGAATTTCTAAATAACTTCCATAAATTAAGTTCATTATTCCATGCAAAACCTTTAAGTTCAATAGTGGCATGACATTACATCATTCTGATAAACTACCTGTTTCAGTGGAGATACAAACTCCCTAAAAGAGCGCGAATTTCTGAGTGCCACTGTTGCTGGTGTAGAAGTTTTGTTCACTGAAGACACTGAAGAACAATGAGCTTCTTGGTGAAGGGTGAGAACCTGTGAACAATTATCACCCTGATTTTCATTTTCATCTGATGGCTTCTCATCTCCATTATACTTCTAACAAACAAGGAAATGTTAATATAAAAGAATAAAACAAGGAAATGAGAAGATGAATAAAACCAAGAAAACAGAAGGGATAAATTCACCTCAGGAAGTGGTTCTTTCTCCAAGTCCAGTGCTTGTTTACAATGCACAGAAGTAGCTGACGCAATTTGTCCATCCT